TTAAAGGAGAAATATTTATGAGGTACATCAATAAGGCTTGGTGATTGAATGCTTGAGAGTTAATAAGAGAAGGGTCTAGTATGATTCCTGGGTTTATGATGGGAGTCCCTGAGTTAGGTGCTGGTACCATTTATTGATACTGAGAGAGTGAAGAAGAAACTTGAGTTCAGTTTTGTACATGTCAGGTTTGAGGTCACAATGGGACAACCAAGTAGAGATGTCAAGTAAGCAGGTATTCAATTAAAAGGAACAGTTTGGCCTTAAGAGCTAAAAAGTTGGGAATACTGGCATATAGTAACTAAAGCCAGGGAGTAGAAATTATCAAGCATTAAGTTCAGAATAGGAAAAAGATTTAAGGGGAAAAAGAAACTCTGAAAAATTCTCATGTTTTATGATCAGCTAGAAGAGGAGGAAGGAGGAAAATGATGACTCTACAGTATAGCAGAAGCCAAGGAGGAGTAAGGAGAGAAACTTCCATCTGTGCTGATCCCAGGGTCATAGTCTGTAGTTTTACATTTTGCTCAAAATACATGATTTATATACCAGTAAGTGGGGGCATACTCTTCAAAGATGTCACCTCCAATACACTAAAAAATTAAGTTTCCGAGTCTGGAGAACTGAGGTCTGGACTAGGGACTCTTGTAAATCAACCAAAGAAAACAGTATCTAGGGAGGACTCTTGCTAGCTAACCGGTTGGCTTTGTCGGGTGACCTCCAAGCCTCAAGAAATCTTTCCTTGAAACATTTATAGTACTTATTACTTTCTAAAATAAGTAAGATTAAACTATATTCCCTCCCCCTTGTTTTTCTTTTTGCATATTCTTAGCCTCTCAAGATTTTAGAATAAAAGGGCATGTGGCACATTAACAGCTTCAACCTTCTCTAAGTGCGGGAATCTTGCTTTAAATTTTCTGATGGGTGATTATCCAACCACAGCTGGTGCAAAATAGCAAATCTGGAGGACTCTGGGTCACTATGATAGTTCTTTTTAGAAATTCATATATCAAGGTTGATAAGAATAAAACGTGTCCTCTGGTGTTTGAGACATCATAGAGTTCCTTTTTCAAAGGCCTTTGAGAAAAGGATGAGGACAAACAATTCAAAGTTTAAATGCTTTACACATTCTAGGTTTTCCATGCTTGTTGAATGAATGCTTGGATTAATTAGCACAGAAAGCATTTAGCTGGTTCTGAAAAGTTGACTATATACTATTAACTTAGTAAGAACTGTTAGAAGAACAGGAATTCTTTTGTGTTAGAATCCCTTATCATTGCAACATTATCTTTAGGAATAAATCTTAAATCCATGAATTTTTCTTGTATGAAAATCCAGCTATGCTAAGTCCTATGTATGTATTAAAATATATATATGTGTGTATACACACACACACACACACACACACACACACATATATATATATTCCCCCCCCCCAAAGAAAGCTGATAAATCAAGATTCCCTTCCTCCCTTTCCATCTCACTGGGGTGGGGACAGAAGCAGTAGAGTATACTGGAAAGAGCATAGCCATTAGAATTAGTCTTGGTTCAGATCCACTTCCACTATTTATTATGTGTCTGATCTTGGGCCATTAAGTTACTCTGAGTCTCAGTTTCTTCATTTTAAAAATGAAGATAATGCTTACTTGGCAAAGTTACTGTGAAGATTAAGTAAATTAAGGAGTAGAAAGCATGTAACGTAGCAACTGGCTGATAGAATGAGCTTGATAATGGTAGCTATTACTCTTACATTTGGACAACATTTCATAAAACATTTAGCAAGAAAAAAAAGAATTTTATGCTAATTTTGTTTTTATTTATTTTTTAATAAGAAAATGCTAAAGCCAGGAAAGGAAATGATAAAGTTAGGAAGCAAGGAGATTCACAATAGCCAAGAGATGGAAGCAACCCAGATGTCCTAAAGGGATGAATGGATAAGCAAAATGTAGGATATATGTACAATGGAATATTATTCAGCCTTAAATAAGAGGTAAATTTTGACATATGCTACAACATGGATGAACCCTGCGGACAATACACTAAGTATAGTAAGCCAGTCACCAAAAGACAAATACTATATGATTCCACTTATATGAAATCTAAAGTAGTCAAATTCATAGAAATATAAGTTTTTCCAGGGAAAAAAAGGAAAAGTGAAGCGGTTTAATGAGTGTAGTTTCAGATTTGAAAGATGAAAAAGTATAGAGATTTGCTGTACAACTATGTGAACATACTCAATACTACTGAACCACACATTTAAAAGTGGGTAAGATAGTCAATTTTATGTTATGTGTTTTTTACTGTAACAAAAAAAAGGAAGTGGTAAGGAGAAAAAAAGTGAAAAAGTAAAGATCTGGAAATCTGGAGAAAAGGCAAAGGTGGTAGTGACATTAAGAAATGAGCTATAATAGATTCCATAATACTAAAAAAAATCTCTAATTTTTTTTTTAAAGATTTTATTTATTTATTTGACAGAAATCACAGGTAGGCAGAGAGGCATAGAGAGAGAGGAGGAAGCAGGCTCCCTGCTGAGCAGAGAGCCGAACGTGGGGCTCAATCACAGGACCCTGAGACCATGACCTGGGCTGAAGGCAGAGGCTTTAACCCACTGAGCCACCCAGGTGCCCCCAAAATCTCTAATTTTTAAGACAATAAAATAAAACTTTAAATCACTGTGTCTCATCTATGCCCAAATTCATCAAATAAACATTTGCTGCTTAAATTCAAGGCACCGTGCTAGATACTAAGGGCCAAAAAAGGCACAAGAAACAATTCTTGCCTTCAAGGAAATGGATAAGTATAAAATAATTATTATAAAATATGGTAAACAGAATTAAAGAGAGATAAAGTACAGAGAACTTAATACAGATTATTATGGTAGAACAGACAAGATTTTCTGGAAGGAGTGGCATCTGAATTAGAGATCCACAAAGGCCTTCCAAGAAGCTTTCATATCACAATCTATCAGAAGATTAAGGGACAGGTGAGACAGTCAATGAGGATTAAGAGGTACAAATTTCCAGTTATAAAATAACTCCTGGGGGGGGGCGCCTGGGTGGCTCAGTGGGTTAAAGCCTCTGCCTTCAGCTCAGGTCATGATCTCAGGGTCCTGGGATTGAGCCCCGCATACTCAGTGGGGAGCCTGCTTCCCCTTCTCTCTCTCTCTGCCTGCCTCTCTGCCTACTTGTGATCTCTGTCTGTCAAATAAATAAATAAAATCTTTAAAAAAAAATTAAAATAACTCCTGGGGATATAATGCACAACTAGGGAATATAGTCAATAATACTGTATTAACTTCGCATGGTGACAGAGGGTAACTAGACCCTATTGTGGTGGTCATTTCATAATGTTTTATAAAAAGATCAACTGGCTATGTTGTACATCTGAAACTAATATATTATGATAAGTCAAATATAATTCAATAAAAAAACCAATCTAACTCTGAGATTTATTAATAGATATTATGGTAAAAAACGATAATAGAATTTTTTTTTAAGTAATTACATCTAGAAATGACAGGAAGGAAAGAGGGACGAAAATTAAGGACTCGGAGGGGGAGAAGACTTCCTCAATTTCTTCATCATTGTAGTTTTTATTTCTTAAATGAGCTCCTAGTTTTCTTACTTCTGCGCCCTTGTCCACATCATTACTTTAACCTGGATAATCAATCAGTACTTCTTTATATAAAAATATCATATAATAATGAACTGACTAAAGTAAACCATAAAATGCTTTTAGATTAATAGAGTTGAAAATAAGATAAGACATTTTCTTCTATCATTTTAGAAGGAAACAATTTATGTTCACAAGTTAATTTAGTTTTAATGAATTATACATAAGCATTCTGGATTTTATTTTATTTTATTTTATTTTTATTTATTTATTTTTTAAAAGATTTTATTTATTTATCTGACAGAGATCACAAGTAGGCGGAGAGGCAGGCAGAGAGAAAGGAGGAAGCAGGCTCCCCGCTGAGCAGAGAGCCCGATGTGGGGCTCAATCCCAGGACCCTGGGATCATGACCTGAGCCGAAGGCAGAGGCTTTAACCCACTGAGCCACCCAGGCGCCCCAGCATTCTGGATTTTAAATGCAAGGCCTAAGAAAGGTCATATTCACAAACCTTTGTTGAAGATAGTCATATGTTAGAAGATGTTTAGCTAAATGAAAAGAGGAGGGGGAACGGGATTAGGGTCTTCAGGCCAATGATAGATTTACAAGTATATATTATTATCAAAGGCTTTTTCTCTTCTCTCACTCAACTAATGGTTCTGTACTACTGTGATTTTCAAAGAACACACTGAACAGATGGTATTCTTGTTTCATATCCACAAGGATAATCATTGATATCACTGGTTCTTCATTAGGAGGCAGGGGGTGATTTTGCTACCCCAGGGGACAGGAGACATTTCTGGTTATCACAACTGGGGGGGGTGCTACTGTCATCTAGTGGTAGAGGCCAGAGATGCTGGTAAACATCCCCCAATGCCAAGGGCTGTCCCCCACTCCCACCTCGAGCAAAGAAGTACCCAGCCACTATGTTCAATAGTGGTTGAGAAAACCTGATATATAAAAATACATCTCATTTCTTTTTGTATTTCCTTTCTTCCCCTCTTCTTTAAGTTTTAGGTTTTCTAAGAAATGGAACATATTTTGAGAAAAAGAGAAAAATGCTACTCTCTTTTACTTCACTCACTAGAAATTTGGTCCCTCCTGCGTCTGAATCAGCACTGTTTTGCTCAGTGTAACGACAGATTTCCCACCAAATCTTTACTTGACCAATGAAATAACAGATTTTCTACTAGATTTTACTGATTAATGATCATCTGAAATAGAAGGAAAAACAGAGCCCAAAGAAATAATCAGCAATTCATATCCACCTATGTATATGATATCTGACCACTGTTACTGGGCATCTGCAGTAACTTCTAGTAGATTTCACAAATGATTCTAGGTTTTAAAAAATGTACAGTGTCTTGATATTTCTGTTATGACATTTAAATGTAGTATTTATATAGTTAGAAAATATACTCACCAATATGACAATATTTAGCCAAATATTTATAAGCCTTGTACTTTAAAAATGCATTGAGAATTATGAAAACCCTAAAATTTAAATCAGAAGAGTATATATTTGTTTTGTAACAAAACAGATAAAACCAAATACAAAGTGTACTATTGTTTGCTCTTCATACATTTTGATTATCCTGCTAAAATCCGTTAATTTAACCTTCAGTTAAAATAAACTTTAGTCATTTAAAAAAACACCAAGTACATGATTATGACAAACTTTTTTGTTCATCAGAGAAAGAACTTCAGGAGTAGTAACGATTGAGCAAATCCGTCCAAAACACTAGGTCTTCATCTTTTCTTTCTTAGACCACTCTGGTGCTTCTTTTTTGGTCTGTTAAAAAATAAAACAAAACAAAACACAACACAAAAATTAAGTAAAATGCTTATAAGGAAAATAAGAGAGGCAGTTCAGAGTACTAAGTATTGGGGCTTTGTATGAAAATTACAGTAAATAATTGCTTTTCTTAATTCAGAAAGACACTTACGGCAAAGGTTCTGTCTTTTGTTAGAAATAATCTCCCACCTGGTATGTCTGCAGAAAAAATATACATCTTTGTTTTCTGGCTCAAAGCCTATATTTAACATATTGCATACAGGTAAGCATTTTTGAACTGACTTTATTTTCAAAGAGATTTATAAAAAAAATCGAGGACATGGGTCTTTTTGTCTTATCTGTCTATATATGGATATTTATTCACACAATGGATATTTACTGAAGAATTACTAGATCCAAATCACTGGACTTTGAGCTTCTGAATTGCTAAGTATTTGCTGGAGCCCTTCTTGGCTTTACTGCTCAGCCGTTTCAATCTAAAAAGAGCCTTGCTATACAGAGTAGTAACAAAAAAGCAGGGGAGGTGGATGGAAGAAAGCACTCAGAACTCCTTACATAAGGCACTGATTCAGATCAAAACGTCCTATTTCATACAATATGTTACAATAAATTAAATAAGCAGTTTACTTCTTTCCCACTTAGATCTGGTTCAAACTATGAAGGACTATATTCCTAAATATATATGTGTGTGTGTGTGTGTGTGTGTGTGTGTGTGTGTGTGTGTAGGCATATAGATAAGTATGATATTTAAAGATAAAAAGTAATTTGATCTTTTTTATATTGTTTTATAGTAAATAGTTGATGTATAAACTGTTGGAAGTGACAGCAATGATCAGCTCCTCTTGACCTTATTTATGCTTTGGCCAGCTTCCATCACCACTGACCAAGCTGGTAGCCTCTCCTTCACTCCCGTCTTTCACTACAACTCTAACTTGAGCTACAGATACTTTCACAGGATGGTCTCCACGGGTGACTGAAATTCAGTATGTGGAATGAACTCTCCCAATCCTCCATAGTCTCTGTCTGGGTGAATAGTATCATACTTTATTCAGTCATCTAAATCAGAAATATCTGATTCTTCTCCAACCTAGATTTCTTCTTTTTACTTACTATACTCATTCTAAGCAGTCTGAAACTTAGCTTTTATTGAAATCTCTTTGTAACTCATTCTGTTCCTATCTTGACCCCACTGGGCCTTCATCTTTTCTGGCTTGATTCCTGCAAGACCTTCCTATTTCTGATCGGGTTCTCTCTTCAATTAATCATCCACAATTCTTTCAAGCTTGTCTTTCTAATATGTAAATCTGCATTAAAACACCTCAGTATTTTCTTCTTAAAAAAGAAAGTTCAAAGACCTTTGTATTAAAGGTAAAAAGAAGCTCCTGGCTGGCTCAGTCAGTAGAGCATGCAACTCTTGATCTCAGGGTTGTGAGTTCAAGCCCCATACTGGGCATGGAGCCTACTTAGGGGGAAAAAAAAAAGATGGGGCATGTGGGTGGCTCAGTTGGTTAAGCATCTTGCCTTCAGCTCAGGTCATAATCCCAAGGTCCTGGTGGGATCGAGTGCCACATCAGGCTCCCTACTCAGTGCAGAGTCTGCTTCTCCCTTTACCTTTACCCTGTGCTTGTGATATGTGCACGGGCCTGTGGGCACACACTCTCTCTCTCCCTCTCTAATGGATGAATAAATTAAAAAAAAAAAAAGTGGCAGAGGCTAACTAAATCCAAAAGAAACCAAAGTACAGATCAGAATGTTATTAATTCATAATAAGACATATAATTGTCATTTGTCCAGGAATGCCTGCTAGTTTTACCAGCATGCTTTTTCTTTCTTTCTCTTTTTTTTTATTTTTATTTTTTTAAAAATATTTTATTTTATTTATTTGACAGAGATCACAGGTAGGCAGAGAGGCAGGCAGAGAGAGAGGAAGGGAAGCAGGCTCCCAGCCGAGCAGAGAGCCGATGTGGGGCTCGATCCCAGAACCCTGGGATCACGAGCTGAGCCGAAGGCAGAGGCTTTAACCCACTGAGCCACCCAGGCTCCCCTCTTTCTCTTTTTAAATAGTCACAGACCATAAGAAGTCACAGTAAAACTGAAAAATTGCATGGTTCTCATATAAACAGATGGAGAGGTTTTGGGTGACCGGAAAAGGTGAGCCAGCTAAAAGTCTAAGGTTCACACAATTGGTCTCAGAAGCACATATATGCCAGTGTTTTTGAAACTGTAGGTCTCGTCAATTAAATTGCAATAAAAATGGAAGAAGAAAGAAACTGTAGGTCCCCACCCATGGGTAAGAAAATCAATTTAATGGGTAAAGACCAGAATTGAGAGAAAAAAAGTCAACAGACTAGAATAGAATAGAAAACATCAGAGTACCTGCCCTAGGTCTGGGGTATATTCTGTTTTGAGAAAGTGTGTGATCGTCACGAGGTCACAGTGTGAACTGGTTTTTTAACTGTGGCTCCTGGACCAAAAAATCTGAAAGCAGCTTCTACAGACCAATTTACAGACCTTCAAGCTTAAAGCTAAGGGTAGAGAATCTGTACATCTGTGTTTCCTCAATCGACTGATAACAAAAAATGTTCCTTCTCTGTGTACATGGGGAAGAAGAGAAATAAAACTTCCAATATTAAAAAGGAATCTTTTTTTTTTTTTTAAGATTTTATTTATTTATTTATTTGACAGAGATCACAAGTAGGCAGAGAGAGAGGAGGAAGCAGGCTCCCCGCTGAGCAGAGAGCCCGATGCGGGGCTCGATTCCAGGACCCTGGGATCATGACCTGAGCTGAAGGCAGAGGCTTTAACCCACTGAGCCACCCAGGCACCCCTAAAAAGGAATCTTAAGGCCCAAAAAGAACAGGCCAAGAATTTCAGTGGCAGACAATTCTTCCTGACTCCTTTTATCTGTGTTTGGTCCACTGCAGACCTCTCCTCCTCCCCGCCTTACAAACACATTCTCTATCAGATGTGTTAATGAAGCGGATTTGCCCCAATCGATTGTGCCTCTTTCCAGGGATTAGCTGCTTTTCCACTGTATAAATTGACTTTTGAGATATTTGATCTCTTACAGGTTCTAATATATGAAACCCTTTTTATATGTATATATGGCATAGAGCTTTAATTCTTATGTGCTGGTTTAGGTTAACTGTATTTGTGATTTTATAAAGAAACAGTACAAAGTAGTGAAAAACTGGGTTATCAGTTGAGTGTTAACAAACCCTCAAGTAAACTGTACTCCAGATTTAGGGAAGCGCCCAGAGGGCTGTGGTAGAAACCAATGACAGGATTAACTGGAAACCGACCAGGACTCACCTACCAGGTTACAATGTGAGTCTGGAGATAAAGAACTGATAAGATAGGTACCTTTATGTCCTGGAGAAGCAGTCAACTCAAACATTAATATATTACTTGGGGATTCTAACACATTGAGAAAGTATGTTAAAAGGAGAAAGAATGATAATAATACATATATCATAAACCTGGTGGATTATTCCTGGAATCTAGAAAAAGAGCTAGAAATTAAGAATCTATTTGTGTTCAACCACCAGAAAAGAGCCGCTTTTCTAAAGAAAGACGCTGTCTAGTAGATATAATAACTTTGTTTTCCAAAAAAGATGGAAGCTGGGAATCACAGAAATAAGTATTTAAAGAGTCTTCACAGGCAGAGCCCAACCTAAGTGAGTCTAAAACAGCTGACCTGGCTCTCCTACCAATTTAAATGAGAGATTGTCCCAGATCATTCGACCTTCACTGCCCTCCCTCCATGCTTACAAAGAAAGGAATAAAGTCTTGATATAAACAATATATATTAGACATCCTATTACTGAATAATGGAAAGAAGCACAAATTACAAAATAATTTGTGAATACTGTACTCTTTTTGCCTTTGGAATTTCTCACTTTCTAAGCCTCATTGTCACCTGTTAAAATCTTCAAGGCCCGAGCCTCCAATACTCCAGGAGCCCATCAACATCACAGTATCTATTCTTTCTTCAAATTTCTACAGCACTTAGCATTTTCTTTATTTTTACTTTAAAGTAGTCCACCCCATTTTGTCTATATCAAAATGATCATATATTCTATAATGTTTAGCAAGGGTGCCTACATGTAGTCAGGACAAACTTGTTGAACCAAATTGTACTTACTTGAACATTTTTTGTTTTCCAGATGACCACATGCAGCGTTCTAAATCATTTCTACAGAGAGAGTCATGTCATCATAAAGCCATTTATGTAAAAAATTACATAAATGTAATATACCTGTCCAATAGATGACAGCCATTGAGATAACCAATCTAAGTTAAGGCCTGAACCCTACCATAAACTCTAATTTGGAAGCTTCATTTACAATGTACTGGTGCCACTATTCTTACGATGTTCCCTGCCCTCCTGGAGTTTGAGCCTCTTTATTGTTTCAACGCTTACAATCTGCTTGGAGAAAAGACTGAGAGCAGGACTGCTAACATCTGCATTTTTATTGAGAAAATGGTGACAATGATATGAATCTTGAGTAAAAATGCTGGTGTGCAAAAGGATGGTAGTTAGTCCCATGGTGCTCTGGAAGGAAAAAGGAAAGTTGCTCCAAAGAGGATGAGAACAGCTCCAGTTTTTTTTTTCTAGAAAGGAGCGACTTAAGGCGAGAGAAAAGGGCTAGGACAACTAAAAGCTACCTTGAGAGTGAAAGTAGATGATGAGCTGGAACGTACTGGGTGTTTATGAATGAAAGGGACGAGATGGTGTGGCCTGTTGTAGAAGTAGCACTAACCACAGCCTGGGGGAGTTGCTGCTTTCACTCTCCCTGTCCTTTTAGTGTAATACTCAAGTTGCCCACCCAATAAAGTTTTAACAGCTAACAAGGTAAGTAAATCAGGAAGGCACATAATAACCTTTTTTTTAAAAGCCCTCAATTAGCAAATATTTATTGAGTATCAATTTTGTTCAGGAATTGTGCAAGGCAATGGAAACACAGCTCCTAACCTTACAGCACTTACATTCCGTGACTCAGTCTAGACTTGGTTGGTATGTTCAACGCCTGAAAAACAACTCTGCCCTATCTGTATTTTCAATGGCCATAACTTGAGAAAGGTGTCTATCATATGCACCTTTGGGGTCCTCTTCATGTATAAATATCATGTGGGCCCTATAAAAGTTTCTTTTGAATATAAAAGCACATAAAAACAAATGTCTCAAGCTCTTATCCTTCTTTTCTTCTTCTTCGTCTTTTTTTTTTTTAAGATTTTATTTATTTACTTGACAAAGATCACAAGTAGGCAGAGAGGCAGAGAGAGAGGGAAGCAGGCTCTCCGCTGGGCAGCCTGATGTGGGGCTTGAGCCCAGGACCCTGAGATCATGACCTGAGCCGAAGGCAGAGGCTTAACCCACTGAGCCACCCAGGCGCCCCTCCTTCATTCTTCTACATCACAGCTCTCCTTCTACCCTACTGCCCCACTGACAGTAGTTTTGTTTCCTCATCCTTTCAATGCATATATGAACATACATCCATCCAGCTATTCAGCATAAATTTGTTATCAGGGAAAAATATCAATAGCAAATAATTTCAGCCAAAGGATCTGGAAGCAAATTAGAAATGTTTCCATTTTAGTTATAAAACTGTAAGATTATGAAATAATTAGATCTTATTTTTACATATTTGCATCATAAATTCCTTGTTAACAAGATCAGATGAGATGTTAAGAAAAATGTTGCTATGGAAAATTGAAAATATTCAAAATAGTAACTGTAAAAATTATAATGCTTGAAAAGAGTAATAGCATGTTAGTATAAAAAATATCTAGACCGCATTTCATATGATCTTCCCCCTCATTTTACAGATTAGAACCAGCTCAGAGTGTTTACATGACTCCCTCCAGGTTACCCAGTCAATTCACATTAATAATTTTGCATTAGCACATAGTCTTGATTTGACTGGTTTCCAGTATTAGTTCTCAGTTTTCACTAGTGTATGGCTGAGTTCATACCTTTTTTTTTTTTTTTTTTTTTTAAAGTAGGCTGCACACCCAACATGGGACTTGAACTCACGGCCCTGAGATTTAAGAGTTGTATGCTCTACTGGCTGAGTCAGCCAGGTGCTCCTGAGCTCATTCCTCTTTTGAAAAATTTTCCCTTATTATAAAAGAAATTAAGTTTATTATAGGAAAAGCCCCAGGAAACACACATGGGTAAAAAGGATATAAAAACCATCCAACCAATACTTTATATTTTGAATCTTCTTAACTTTATTCTCACTGCAAAGACTTATTTTGAGGTACTGGAGAAATTTTACTGTTAATTATATACTGGTTGCAGTCAGGATATCAGAATCAGGTTACCAGCCAAAGTTAGAAATGCAGGAGGTTAGAATCAGAAGGAACAGTTCACTGCTTGGAACAGAGAAGGGTCAGAAAAGCAGATCAGAGGGTGTACAGGCTTTAAGTATTTGGCTGTATCTTGTGGTTTTTCATCTGACCTTACTCATCCCATCAACATCTATGTATTCAGTCTGCTCTATTCTGATAGATTATAATATAACAGACATATCATATTGTCTGCCATCACCTTAGCCCAGTTTCTGAGCTATGGTCCTTTGGAATAAGTAGCTCTAGGCAGCTTATTTGGTACCATGGGATTCCTGTTCACTAATAATTTTATTAGTGAATTTTTTTAGCGGCCATTCAGTAGCCTGGCTAACAACCTTAACAACTCTTGCTACAAAGGCATATCACCCAACAAAACTAAGCTGCACCAATTGGATTCCTGTTTTTGGAAAATACACAGAGAATAGGTTAAAAGAGAGTCCATGTGGGAAGGAAGCATGTCTCAAGACAAGGGGCCAAGAGCAAATTAATGAGGAAGTGGAAACTGTGAGTAAGCAGAAACTGGGAGAGAAACAAAGAGAAGCTGGTGTACCACCAGAGGAAAAGATCCCAGGACACAGCTGCGGAAACCCGGAAATCCGTATAGCTGTCTTGTTTCCTGGCTGGTCAATCTAGGCTTCCTGTTTTCTCTCTCCTGTCAGCTCAGTCTCCATTACCACCACATGGATCCTTACAACAATTATCCCTTATTCCATCTAAATTGTAACTCACTGTCATTTTTTTAAAAAAAGGATGTTGAACCATGTAGTCACCAAGCAATCTCTCATATCACGTTGCTCTCCAGTGGCATTATCCAAATGTATAATGAAGTAGCTTAGATGAGATGCTCCCATACTTGACTGATTATTATAATCATCTTGGAAGCTTTAAAAAACTAAAATTTGGGGCGCCTGGGTGGCTCAGTGGGTTAAGCCTCTGCCTTTGGCTTGGGTCATGATCCCAGAGTCCTGGGATCGAGTTCCCGAATCAGGGTCTCTGCTCAGCGGGGAGCTACTTCTCCCTCTCTCTCTCTGCCTGCCTCTATGCCTACTTGTGAACTCTCTCTGTCAAATAAATAAATAAAATCTCTAAAAAAAACCCCCCAAAACAAAAAAAAAGCCCTAAAATTCTGGGGGCTCACCAAATCAGAGTATCATAAAGAAAATCTGTCTGGTTTTGAGTCTCTGTTCAAACTGTAAAAATCATGTTTCTCTGGGAAATTAATGCAAGGATGGGAAACCATGTTAAAGTATAATATTTAATAATGCTACTATTTTCATTCTGTTGCCTTTTTATTTTTATTCATAAAAAATGATGTTAAAAATTATGTTAAAACATCATTTTCAGTATTTTCTTTTTTAATCTAAATTCTTCTGATTTATTGTTTTTTGAGTGATTCCTGTATATGCACATGTCTATCTAAAAATGTATTCGTTTATGCTAATATAATTTTAATATTATATTAAACATTAATTGTATGCTAATAATATTAATTTTATGCTAATATGATTGGTTCTGTACTTATGAAGAACCTCTTAGAACAAAGTATACTCACTACCAATAAGAGGGGGAAGGAGATATTTTGCATGTCTTTTTATTCTTAGATAAGTTGAAAAATTATACAAAATGTCCCTCTGATTCCCGTATAAGTCTTGAAGATTAGAGGAGGTAAATGCTAGATTAAGGCTCATTTCTGGGCCAGTCCATTATGTTAACTAAAAACCAACTATCAGTTGTAAGGTAGGTAATACATACATTCAGGAAAGGGCTTAATATAGATCTCTCAAGTTCTTTAAATAAAACTGAAAATTAGTTTAAAACCAACATGAATAAGAGGTAAGAAACCTAAGTAAAATATATTTATGAAAATCAGAGATACTAAAATTCTAAGTTAATTTTGGTTGTACTTACAAAGAGTGTTGGTTTGGGTATAAATATATTGTCTTCGTGTCCTCTAGGCACATTTAAAGTCTTTGATTTATGATTCTCTGTCATATTTTTTGCATCTGTTTTAGTAAGAAGTAACTGGTCCTCAGAATGCTTACTACGCATATTGGTGACAATCTGTTTCATTACTGCCAATTCCTGTTGATAGACGAAAACAGAAGATAATGGCAAGTATGATTTTAGCAAGCAGACTAAAAATGATGGATGCTAAAAAACATTTATTTTTATTCTTGAAGTAGAAGAAACATTTGAAGCAATCACTATATGAATGAGGAAAGCTGTGAAACTAACAACATGTCAATGTACAGTGATGTACATAATTATCGATTCATATCATTAGTATTTTTAGGATGGTAAGTGATAAATATATCATTCCAGGCTCTAGTGGGTCCCTGATTTTTCTGCATATTGGGATCACCTGTGGCATTTCAGAAACTGCTGATGTCTGTGTCCCACCTGCAGAGATTGTGAGTAATAGGACAGGGAGGTGGCCTTGGCTTTGGCATTTTCTAAAGCTCTCCAAGTGATTCTAACAGACAAACCTCAGAACCACTGGCACAGCTACTTTCCACCGAGCTTTTCTACACCGGGTTTGTTGAACAGATGATTTAGGCACTTAATTTTCTCTCTTCTACTTCTTCAATGATCCTATTTCCTTTGGAAGTCTTATAAGAAGATGGTAGGGAAGAAGAGTCCAAAACATTTCTTCTTGCTACTAATCACCAGCTCAAACCTTACGTTTAATACAATTTCAGGATTTCTTTAATCATGCATTCCCTATTCTTTTACAAATGAAAACTGGACTTGGCTTTAGCAGTTGCTGTTTGAACTAAGAATTAATTATGCTGAACTTGTTAAAGAGCTCCGATCACAATTTTCAGGCATTTACTCTTCTAAGTCTGTTTTGTCTTTTATTTCTCCCCACAGTCAAACCTTTAACTTCTAACACTAATTAGTGGATATTTGTGATTAATTGCTAAATTCATTCAATCAAATACAAGCATACGAAGAGAGGACAGACTAAACTATCTCCTTTACCTTATTATTTGTAGAATAGTGGTGGGCTATGTTCCAAGTCATTTTTTCCCATTTTTTTATTTCATTTTCATGCCAAGACACCAAAGCTCCGGTGACAGAGAGATGTTCTGCTCCCTTCTACTAATCTGTTTATAGACATTAGCTCTGGGTCAGAGCAAGTTCCTACAGGCCTTCCCCCTCCCCCCAGGCTGTCATTAGTTCTATTTAGAACCTTCTAGCTTGAGTGGGTATTTTAAAACAGAGCTGTTGAGTTCAAGCCACCAAGCCTTAATAAATCTTAGGGCCAATAGAGGAGCTGGGAGAAATGGTGCCAGAATCCCTCTTCTCCCTTCTGAAGGCCTGGGGATGGCTGGGCTGCTGCACGTGAGAATGTGGATCTCTTCAGACACGGCCAATCTGACAGAATAGCATCTGAGCCTTTTGGGGGATCTTTTGGCTTTCAAGATTGTGTTATTTCATTTATATGGTCTCCACAGTGAAGTACATAATCACCGACTTGATATCAAACATGTCTGGTATTACAGCAGATTTCAGCTCCTGTTCTACTTACTGTTGTAAGTCGAAGGGGAAGGAGAGATGATGGTCTCTCAGGCTATTGAGAGAAAACTTTTCTATCTTAAAGAACCTATGTTTACTTTCCATAAGTTTTGTATCTTGGAATGAAGATAAGATAATAGGAAAAAATGACCTTTAACACAACATACTACTCATCTACAGATTAGTAAGGTAAAGGGCATCATATTTACTGGGGAAGGGGACAGGTTCGGCAATGAGGATGAGGAGGGAGAACGGGAAGGAGGTGCAGGGACATTAGGCAGAGGGCTTTGGCTCCTGAGTGCCCGGGAGGAGGCCGTCATTGCGTTTCTCTTTGCCTTCCTTCTCCTGCTGGTAGAGGAAGAGTTACAGGAAACAGCTCATTCCTGGTGCTGGTCAGGAGACAGAAGAGAAATTCATAAGTCTTTGCTTCAGCCAGACTAGGCTCACCTCAATTTAGGGTGTGGTGACAGTCTGCTTTCATTCTTCTGGCTGCATTAGACAATGTTAGCATGGTTTCTGAAATGCAGGTAAAGAATACTGTACAAATAACACAGTTCTATAAAATGCCTACTAAAAAAATACAGCTACGGTGGATCCCAAAACAACATGTAGGAAATTTTTTTTCAGTTTTATTATGTGTGGTCACATAAATGATCCATTCCTTTTTTATCAATGGTAAATCTAGGGAAAGAAAATTCCACTTTAACATCAGATAGTATCCACAATACCATCATGTACTAAACACACAGAAAGCCACGCACATGTACGGGAAATATTTTAGCATTAGGTTAGAAGTCAAAGACACATCTATTCCTGACTCTCTTACTCACTATGTAAACTTAGGCAATCTACTCTGGTTCAATGAGCTTCAGTTTCCTAATTGATAAAATGTATGCTTGTGTTACCTTTTTGGATATTTGCCAGTGTGATAAGTGAGTATGTTTTATTTCGCATTTCTTCTATTGTGAGGTTGAGCAGCTTTTCATATATTTAAGGGTATTTGATATTCTCGGCCCATTTTTCTCCTGACTGATGGTCATTTTCTTACACATTTCAAGGAGCGCTTTGTGTTAGAGATTTTACCCTTTGTAAGATGAGTGGCAGTCTCCCCTGCCTCCTTCTACCTGTTTATCTTTTATCTATGTTCATGATTTTTTTTTTTTTTTTTTTTTTTTTTTTTTTTTTTTTTTTGCTATGCTGACCTTTCTGATTCTGATGTGGCTGAATATCTCAATCTCTCATTTTACAGCCTTCTCTGTGTTTTCGTCTTCATTTTCCTCCAGTTACATTTATGCTTTCTTTTTCTTTTCCTTTTCAAATGTTTAGACCTCTGATCTGTCTGAAGTTTATCCTGGCTTATGGTTAAGGGTGTGGATTCGACATCTTTCCCCCATAATTATTCTGTGATAACATTATGTACTCAACTATTTCAGATGCTTATCTTTATCGTACACTAAACTTCCATAAGTAGATGATTTATTCCTGGACTTTTAAACTTAATTCCAATAGTCTGTCAGTTCATGTACCCATGTCACACTGTTATGTTTAATGATTTGCATACATTTTAACTCTATTCTTAGAGACAGGGGTGGACTTAGGTTAAATTAAAAGAAAAACTTAGAAGAACTGACTTTTATGATACTGAGTCTTTCTAACCATGACAATGTTTTAACAGATCTTTCACCGACATTTTGGGCATAAATTGTCATGTCCTTAATGGTATTATTATTACAAATAAACGGTTGTAATTATGAGATTTCAATTCTCAGACTGACAAAAATAAATAAACCAACATTAACATATATGAGCTAGAAAACTTACTTGTCACTACGAAACAGAATCGTTTGGTCAGATGAAGTCACCTTGAAATCTTCTGGTTTGTTCCTATCTGGTTTGGGTCTTACCATGTTCTTGTCTGGCTCCTGATTGTTGGCTCCATCTCCTATTTAAGATTCTGCTCTGATTGTTTGGACTTGACTTTTGCATTTCATTTCCCTAGCTTTTTTTTTTTTTTTTCTCCCTTAAGATTTTGTTTATTTATTTGTCAGAGAGAGCACAAGCAGGCAGAGTGGCAGGGAGAGGCAGAGAGAGAAGCAGGCTCCCTGCTGGACAAGGAGCCCGATGCGGGACTTAATCCCAGGACCCTGGGATCATGACCTGAGCCGAAGGCAGCGGCTTAACCCACTGAGCCACCCAGGCGTCCCACTTCCCTAGCTTTTGATTCTGCTTTTCCATGTCCTTAAACCATCCTTTTCTGATTTGTCAGTAGTTATTTGTACTCGTATTTAATGACTTACAAATAATGTTCACTGCAGAGCAGAGAGTGTGATTAGATGCACAAGAAAGGACCCTCTGATGTTCGAAGGAGAATGTGTCAGTATCATGTTCAATTGAATTCTTTTTCTTACATTGCATCTATTGCTCAAAATCATGCCATTTACTTGGGTTCCTATTTGTACTCTGACTTTCTTAAAGAGATTTCCCTCCTCCTTAGAGTTCTGCCTTTTTTTTCTTTCATTGATGGAAATAATATATGCCTTTTCCCATATTACCTAAGATTAGCTTCTTAATCATGCTATTTATTAGCTGTGTTCAATTTTGTAGACTGTTTTTAAGACTGATGCACAGTTATTAGTGTGAATTTCTTTTTATTACTTTATTTCTTTATTATCTATTTTGATAAGTTCCATCATTTCTGAGAGGGTATTGTGAAGGAAAGTATTGTGCTTTCCTTCAGGACTTTGATGGTATTATTCGTTGTTTCCTAAGTCAAATTTCCGAGAACTATGATGCCAAGCTGATTATTTCTTTGCAGGTTTTTTTTTTTTCTTTCTGTGATCTACATTGTTTACCTTTTCTGCATTAGTTTCCATCTTTTTACCTTTTTCTAAGTTTTAGGAGAGTTTGTTGACTTTTCCTCACATCCTTCTTCTGGCGTTTTTACTGACTTATAATAATTTCATGATTTTTATTTTAGCTATTTCTGAAAATAAAATATCACCAATTTTTTTTTGCTTGCTATTTCTCATTTTATGGAAATATTACTTTCTCAAATTTTCCTGAAAAAATGAATTATAATACCTTGTAAGTTCTTTTCTGCTATGGAATTTTGTTTTTGTTTTCTTTGGAGAACAGGGTCAGTTTCTTTGTTGTGATTTTTGTGCTAATTATTCATTTTCTTGCAGTTTCTGACAGTCTTTGGTGTGTGTTCCAAATTACAAACAAAGAACCTGATTAAAAGTTTTCTTTCTGTTTTTCATTTCATTCATGTGAACGAAACAACTGAGTCCTCCCTCTGCACACGTGGATGAGAAAGTCTGTTTAGTAGGCTTCATTGTAGGGCTCGGGCAAAAAGCAGGCTCTCTTCTCCAAAATGACAGAATGTAGAGTTCCCTAATCTGGAGCTCTTTATTCTGGCTGTGTTAGCCTAATCTTGGCAAATGCTCTGTGAATTTCTCAAAATATTTTTTTTAAATTCCCATTTTAAAAAATTATACAAGCAATACTTATTCATTGTAAAATTCACATGCTGTAAAAGTGACATGCCCCAATTCTCTTTCCCT